CACAAAGAGAAATGATAGTGGTTAGAAGGATTGCAACTCACGCTTGAGATGAGTGTGAGTGAAGAGGGAGAAATCTTGGATCCAATTGGGATGGGCATTGGAGGCGAGTGTGTAGAGGTTGGAGAGCTGCATAGCATGCATCACCACAATGCAAGGGTACTGCCCACTGCAGAAGAGCAGGTGGGCATCTGTGAAGCTCGGCTTGAATGACTAAAACAGGTAGACGTAATAGAATTCAACCTACCTTTATTTGCGTATGGTGATACGTTTGATCGACTCGAATGTCCACGCATGTCCCATCCTCAAAATTCCAGATTGCAAGCTCACTGGAATGCACCAAATAAACTTAGTGAGGTTCAAACATTAGAGCTTAACTTGAGTGCTAGAGTAGCGAAATATTTGATGAAAAAGGATCTCGACTAGTCGATACTTCAACGTATCCAGAGGTATTTTGAAGAAAACTGAAAAATATTGTTACAATTCAGCTTTTAAAAAAAGGTCTCGATGAAGAGAAATGGTTATACAACGATTCACCTCAATTATAATTCAAAACCCCTTTTCAGCAGAAAGTTACTGGCTCATGGGACACATTAGAACCGTAAACGATGCATTGATACATTTTACTGGCATTTGCGGCAGCAAATAAAGTTTTCCTGCATGTAAATATGGGTGAAACTAATTGTTTTGAAAAGTGGCCTTAACATCTTTGGTTGGCAACAGTGGTGGTGAATAACCACGTAGAAATGCGAGATAGACAATGAAAAACTCCCAAGCCGATCCTGATTTGTGCTTTCGATAAGCATACATTCTTGTTAGTCTACATAGATTGCAACTCTGCAAATATTAACACTACAAGATCCCTGGCTGTGCCTACCCTGCTAACCCTACGCAACGCACTCAGCACAACCCCCTTTGATCGCATGACTCACGGTAAATTACGAACTGCATGATTGCAATGGCAATGCGGAATATAAAGGGCATTGAAGGTAGCGAGGATAAGCGAAGTGAAGAACCTCTTTGCCTCTACCCCAACTCTCACACCGAAGAAGTTTGGTTATCACTATTCCTTCTCAATTACCAAGAGACCAAGAGCATTCAATGTGTGTGCTCCGAACTCTTATCAATTGGATTACCATATAGCCCAAAAATTTAATTGTCACTATTTTATATCAGCTACAATGTCCAGCATGTAAAATAATATTCCGAAATATGACATTAACTGGATGGGTTATGTAAGCAAAAAGCTGCAGATGAGAAAGTAATGCAACGATTCAGAATGGAGTTTAGAAGCAAAGGATTTACTTGGTGCTTGAATGACTGAAGAAGTAGGAATCCGAAAGTTTGCTATCGATACGCGCAAGTCCAAGGTTTCTGATGGAACCCACGTGACCAATACACATCCACTTCGGCCAAAACTTGGAAAGTCAAAAAAGGGTGTTCTTACATCTCCTCTGTTGTCCAGGGTCCATATAATCAATTCACCACCCGAACCTCCGGTAACAATTTCAGAAAATTTGGGCGAGGGGAGAACCTTAGTAATATCATGGAGTGGACATTGCTTTGACCATGAAACGATAGGTATAACAACTGGACTGGTAACTTTAAGCATCATTTAAGGTTTTACAAATACAGTATCACAACATTCCAAAAACACCACTAATTTACATCCTTATGAAACTTAAGCGGTGTTTCACACAAACAGCGCATTAAAATTTTGAAGCTGTAAATTGATACAAGACGACAATGTAGTAAAAAAGTTTATAACATTGAAAAATAACGTTTTTATAAATTTGACGGTGCGTTTTCCAATTTTAATTGGCAAAGTCTAACGTGTGCTCACTATCATCCTGACCTGCTTCAAACTAGTAAAAATTCAGCATTGATAAGCTTTGTGAGTTAAACTCAGTTTAAGAACTGAGAACGCTATCCCAAATTAACAAACATTTTATGTGACCCAAAGTACTTTACCGCCTCCTGTTCGTTTTCTAACTTGATATGATTTTAACTTCGCTACTCAAATAGGCTTGTAAACACTCATGCTATATTCCTTCTTGATTTATTCAAAGCCATTGTAGCGTCCCGAGGCTTCCCATAGGGTAAAAGAAAGCATAAGTGAGGTTAAAATACATGCAATCCGAAGACGACAGGGCAAAAGGGCTTGAGCGTGGCCCGAAGGCCAGCCCACGTGTACAGGGGCCAGATAATTTCTAAAGTGACTGCCAACCGTCAGGTAGATACAATAACAAGCCATTACAGCTACAAATCTTATTAAGAATGTAAATATTTAGCAATTAAATTTAAATGTGCCACTAGCATAGGCCAGTGGCCAGCTCGCTTACTGAAGGCGATTTGGCCACCCAAGACGCCGACCGAAAATCTTTCTTAAGAATAGGGCACTTTTATCGATCGTGTATTAGGCTTTAGTTATTTTGAGACTATGGGACTGCCACGGAAATTGTTGATTTGTGCGCAAATACATGTTTATCCATTGGGGCTCATGGATTGGCATAGGTTAAAATTCATTCGAAGAACACTTTGTTTAATCAATTGCAACTAAAATACAAAGCTAGCCGGAAAGACAAAAAATAAATTAGTGTATGTAAAACATAACGCTCTTTTAAATTGTGTTATGGAGGAGGGAGGCACTGGTTCAATTTGCACGCCGTGCAAGTGGAGTGCAGGGACCCTTCCTAGGACTAGCTCGTATGTTCTAGCTGTGCCTTGATCCCTGCAAACTATACCTATGTAGCAATGCTTAACGAGATATCATTAACTAGCTTCCTTCCCAATAAAATTAAGATTAAGGGCCAAGAGCGTGGGGAGGAAGGTGCTACAATGTTTTTTGCGCAGAAATGACCATAAAAACTTCCTTACAAATATAAGAATGCACACTGCCTGATTTGAATGCATATACTTAGCGACCAAAAGGCAGTCGGGTCCTTTGATAATGTTCATAACTCTCAGACAATGCAGTATACCCATACAACCGATCGCACTTGAAATTATAACAGCAATTGACAAAATTACAGTTGTCTACTGCTTTACTTATGTAATCGTCTAGTGTCTGACGTTGACTTTAGTAGTGGTCCCGCCCTTCTGCACGTGGGCTGGCCTTTGAACCGATCCTAGACTCAAGACCTCCATATTCTCTTAAAATACACACATTCAGCCCAAATCAATTTCTTCTTCTTCCTTAAGGAAGTTCCTAGAACTACAGTCGTGGTTGGTAGCCATTCCGACTTCCATCCTAGCACTCACCATTTGACATATGTGTAACTTGTGAAGGAGGCGCATATACTTTTAGGAGGAGATTCTTTGAATTTTTTTTACAACGGCATGGCTGAGGATGGTGACAGTCTTTGAATCCAGCTTGTCGCCTTATTCCACAGACAATCTATCAACAATTGAAGCAACGTCGCCATGAACCATCTGCAAAAGTCCCACAATCAACACTACGCCCAATCCTCCTCCACTTGTGATCCCACCTTCCCTGCTAAGCATCCGTTTGACTAGTGCACGGTTAATGATCAACAGAAATTCCTCCCCACAATTCTTGTCCTCGGACCGAATGCAACCCCACTTTCAGCTGGAGCTGTCGAGACGGCCAAGTACAGTCCCTCAGTCCCGTGGTAGCTGGTGAGCAACGCA